ATCCAGCTCTACAGCTTGTTATCTCAGATTCTCCAACATCTGCAGTTCCTAATATCTCTGCTAAAAATGACTGTTCCTTTGAACAGAGTGACAACATCAAGTACTCTGATTAAATGCAGTCCTAATATCAAGATTGAAGCATTACTGAGCTCAAGTGCATTTCTTGCTGCAATAGACATTTCTATTTCCCCATGTCTTCCAAAACTGAACAGTGCTATGATCTGTCTCCAGTCCTTTGTATTGAGACTGTCCAAACTAATTTGGTTTTATGATCCTTTTTAGCCATCGCAAACAGAGATGGATGTTTTACGTTTGAATCAATCATACTGTTTACCTTTGCAATGTCAGACTAGCAAGCTCCTTCTAAAGTTGCTGTCAATGACAGACAAACCAACTGGTAGGAGTCATGTGCAAGTCATATTTGCTTCCTTGTATGGATCCACATAACCCCATTCAGCAACTAATGAAGTTGAGAACTTGCTGTTACGTGCCTTGATGCAAAGTTATATTCTGCATGAGATTGTTGGTAAATTCAACTCTAGGATTGGTAAATCAGTTCACAGCAACACAGAAGGCAGCTTGGTGATGCAAAGAGTTAAACTGCAAAATCAAGAGCTAAATGTAGAAATTTTTATCCTCAATTATGATTAAATAAGTGAAATATAACAAATCAAAACAGCCCACTCTTTTCTTTAAAAGACTGTTCATCTACAATTAAACTCCATGTAGAATGAGTCTTCAAGACTGCTTTGCTAAGGCTTGAGCATTTCTATTGATTATGATGGACATTTAGGCTGGATCATAAAATTAATCTAAGAAATATTTTATTGAAAAGGTTTGACTTGAGGAATTTGTCACAAAGCAATGAAAAATGCCCCCATTGACATTGATATATGAAAAACAAATCTTATTCATTTCCCAAAAATACACTGCATGGTGTACAACATAATAAATACATTACTAGTTTATATTTGAATTCTTACCACATGCCTCAAAGTGCTGATTTGTTCACAGTCTACCAGATGTAGATGTAAACCTAGAGGTTTAAAATGAGGCTAGTAACCATTAAACTAAGTTGCATTATGACCAACAATAAACTTCAGACAACATAATGATTCAACACTACTGCTGTTTTTACGGTTTCTTGCAAGTTTATCAAAGCTTTTGAGACTGGAGAGGAAGTTTTCTTTCTGTGCAAAGCTTAAACACAACCCATTTAACTGCTATACAAGTTTCATCATGGCCACCAGGTTTAGCTAGCAATGCTCTTATACTTTAGAGATAATAGCTAAAAATTCTCACCTACTTTTTACTGGTTCCTTGGGTCAAAACAAAGCAGTAATATCAATGATGTATCATCTTGGCACAATTGTTTCAAAGTATTTTTTGCTTGTAATATAGCTTTAAATATTTTGCTCAGACAGAATCCTTCCCAGAGGGCTGTGAACTGTGCATGTATTATAATCAGTTTAAACAATATGTTCCAAATAAATACTTTTAACCTGGTACAGTTTTACTGGAAAATCCATCACAATAAAAAGTGAACTGGGCAGGTGAACGTATGCTAATATCATAAAGGCAATTCAAAACTTGTTGGAAGATTTAATTTGACTACCAAGTGTAGACGTTTGATAGGTATTTTTCTAAATAGGTAACAGCGGCACTTAAATATGAGGTCCAGAATAATATTAATCCTCATATTGCAGTTCTACTGAAATTTTTTGAAGAATGTTAAATCTAATCTGTAAATTTTTTTTTAAAACACAAAACACTTCTGGCAGAGAAAAGGTTATTTCCAAATCTATGCTTAAGGCAGCCTAGGGAAAAAATACACCTGTCTCTTTCACATACTCAGTCTGAAATCAAATGCAGTGGAAACTATTTCTTCACAATTCAGAAACAGCAACATAACAGTTCAACAACATATAACTAGGTTTCTTATCAGACAAGCTCACAAATATGAAACACATTCTGTTTCCATCTTCCTCCATACCTCAATCAATCACATGTCAGTTTTTAAGCATAAAACTTGGTCCCAGTGAAGTTTACCATGTTTACAAAATTCTATGTAGAATAAGCTGGATTTGCGTGCCTGTGCATCTTCACTTTAGCAAAACAAACCAGGTAAAGTGTGCAGTTTCCAAAGTTCTTGTAAAGTGGGCTGCACAGAACAGGACGAACTCTAAGACTGAAAGGAAGAAAAATAGTTTAGTAATTGTAGGTCACAAATGGCAAAGAAAATCCAAATACACACTAGTGCAATTTTTAATTGGTTGGTTAACAGGGTTACGGACAATCTTTCAATTTCAGGAGAAATGCTACCAATAGTGATGTTTTAAGTTGCAAAGTTAATTATTTTTCAAATGGAATCTAAAGAAGGGTCACTGGGCCCAAAACGTTAACTCTGCTTCCTCTTCACAGATGCTGCCAGACCTGCTGAGTTTCTCCAGCTATTTCTGTTTTTGTCTAAACAGATGTTGACTCAATGCCTTTTACTGAAAAACAATCAAAAGTCTAATTTCAATTTTAATTGTCATTCAAATACCAAGGTCTTGGCTGGCTCCAACTTTTAAGATATGAATGCCACAAGACAGGATTTTGAATTGACCTTAGCACACACCTCTTTCAGAAAGGGACTTTCAACTGAAGGTCACATGAAGAAACCATCTCATTTTCTGTGTCTTTAAAAAAAAAATCAGTGAATGATGCTTATAAAGAGTCCGTCAAGAAGCCATCAAGCCATTTAAAGTCAACTAAGAAGCTAAGGCGATGAACAGCAATACTATGAAGGTGGGAAAAAGAACACCCCCACCTTACCTCCTCCCCCATCTCACCTGTTTCAACTTCAAATTCACCTGAAACATGGCTTCTTGGAAATTCAAGCAGCCACATATGTTACTAAGAATGCTCTGCTTTTTCAAACTTTTAAGTTCAGTTCATCACCCCATCGAAGAAACATTTGGGAGATATGTGAAATAAATAACTTTCTTAAATGTTTTAAAAACTCAGAAAAAGCTTACTTTTACTATATTACAATGGGATGGTCATTCCGTGGGGAAGAAAACACACATTAACACAATGATCATGGGTAGTAAGAAAATACACAAATTCTGTGACAATGGACAAATCGCAATTAAACTTTTCTAGTCGCTTGTCAAGTTTCTCAATTAATATTTCAATTGTATCTATTCAGGGAAGTCCCAAAATCAACTTCCACACTGTGATGAGGTATCAGATTTCAGTCCGAGCAGCAGCAGGCTCACTGGAATGGTTTCTTAGCCTATATTGGCCATAAAGTACAACTTATTGTGAATTAGTGCCTTGATTTACCTTTTGTTTAAATCTGCCTTTGAGTCTCCTTCTCAGTTGGTTAATTGAAAAGCTGAGAAACCCAAATATTCCGAATTTTTCTTCACAATTTAGTCAACAGAAAAGCCACAGAACAGATCACTATTCAAAGGACTACATCCATGGGTGTCACTTGTGAGAGTCAGTGGATAAAGTAACCAAAAATGTGCCCTGCTCAGAGCATTGTAAATTAAACACAATTTCTTTGAATTTGCACACTGCAAGCTTACACAGACTAGCTTTATTTTTCTTTTGATTTCTGCTGTTCAGTAACTAAAGATGTCATGCTCCAACACAATTGCCCTGGGGGAACCTAAGAGAAGGAAGTGAAAAGAAATCAGCTGGGGTCAAGATTCCTGTGGTCGATCATTATCTCTGCTAGAAGCATGTGTGGACAATACGCGAGGTCACAGTCAGGTTTGGCAGGGAAGTGTTCTCTTGATCAGTTTCATCGTCTGTTGATTCTCACTAAGAACGGGCACTTGAAGGTAATGCAAGGCTGCCATAATTCAACACTCCCAAAGGTCAGCAGCTTTTGGAGAGATAGGGAAAAAGTATTTGACTTATAAAACTGTTGTGGTGAGTTGTATTTTAGCAGTGACAAATAATCAATTACAAACTCGTGATGTGAGTCTGCAGCTTGAAATCACATGGAATTAAATTATTTGTTCTGATGCAACTGTTTCTTATATTTCATATCAGCACATAGTAATAGCTTTGAAACTTACCAGCAGAAAAATAGGAGCTTTATTACAGAATGTTGGCACAATGTTGTTCTGATATGTTTCGTCTCCCAAAAGAAAATTTATAATCAGAAATTGAGGGAAAGTGCATCATCAAGAGGTGTGGGTAAGGTGTTAAAGAGCTTGAGGAACAAGACAGACAAGGTGTGGGCACAGATAGGCACATAGGATTATAATACCCTAACTGACACTTGGTTGAAAGATGGACAGGATTGGCAGTTCAATATGCTTGGTTATATAGTCTTCAGATGAGATATAGAGGGGAGCACAGTATTTTCAATTATAGCAGTAAACGGCATTCAGGTGTATCTTTAGCCAGTATATAGAAATCCCAACAAGGTAGAGTCAGTTCTGGTCCTAACATTCATAAATAAGTCAAGGAAGGCAGGAGGTATATCAGTCAGGGAGCATTTTGGAGGTTAGATTTAGGACAGTCATGAGAAAGGGTAGGATGGTCCAGGAATAAAACTTCTATACTGGGGAAAGGCTGATTTTATTTAGGTAAGATGCAATTTGACCCAAGTGGACTGGATGCAGATACTTGCACATGGTACTGTGTCATAGCAGCGAAAAGCATTCAACTAACGGTGAGGGCAAATATGTTCCTGTAAAGACAAAGGGTGAGATGAGGACTGGGGAACTCGAATTCCAAAGAACATAAAAGGTGAAGTGGTGTTGATGAATCCAGTGCATTTCGTATGGTCTACATGGGGGTAGCATGGCTTTCGAAAAGGTTGCTCATGGCATACTGGTCAACAAAGCAAGAGCCCATTGCCATCTAAGCATTGTAGCAGGTTGTATCCAAGTTTGGCTGAAAGGCTGTAAGCAGAGGGATGTTTGTCTAACTATAAGTTGGCTTCCACAGGGCTCGGAGCTGGTACTCTTGCTGATTATGGTGTACATTAATGATTTGGAGTTACAAATGAGGGGTACAATTAAGAGGTTCGTGAATGATACAAAAATTAGGAGGAGTAAATAGCGAGATGACAGCTGTAAAATGCAGAAATATATCGAACTGATCAAGTGGGCAGAGTAGTGGCAAATGGAATTCAATGAGCAAAAAATGTAAGGTAATGTACCTGGGGAGATTACAACATGAATGGTAGGACTATGTAAAGTACTGATGATCAGAGGGACCTTGGTGTGCATATCCAGAGATCACTAATGATAGCAGGGCAGGCAAAAATGGTGGTTCAGAAGGCATATGACATACTCAGCAGGGAGGTTACACTACAACTGGATTATTGTGCGCAATTATGGTCACCACAGTATACAGAACATCTGACTGCAGTAGAGAGAATGCAGAGGAAATTTACCAGGATACTGTCTGGATTGGAGCATCTGAGCTGTAAGAAAGGATTGGAGAGGCTAGGGTTGTTTTTCTTGGAACAGCAAAGGTTCAGAGAGGACCTGATAGATAAGTACAAAATTATGAGGGGCATGGATAGGGTGGGTAGGAAGGCACTTTTTCTATTACAAGAGTCGTCAATAACTATAGCATAGATTTAAGCTAGGAGGCAGAAGGCTAGAAGGAGAGTTGAGGAGAATTTTTTTCATCCAGACAGTGGTAGGAGTCTGAAATGCACTGCCTGAAAGGGTTGTTGAGTCAGAAACTCTTAGAAATTTGCTTGTGTTGCCGTAGGCTCTAGGGCTAGAAGCCCAAAACTGGAAAATGGGATTAATATAATCAGTTGTGTGTGACTGGCATGAACACAATGGACCAAACGGCCCCTTCTGTGCTGTAAAGCCTCTAAGTATATGCATTTTAAGCGATAATGAAAGGATATATCACCATTAATGGTGTTTCTATCATTTCACAAGTGAACTGTGAAGGCATTTTTCAGTACAATATTCCTTTTGACAAGAATTCTTTTAAGTTAGAAAATATTCAATTTATTCAAAAACCTTTAAAACAGTGAAACATCAGTATACTGATCTCAGGATCAAATATTGTCAAAGATTCATCAATGATTCCAGTAGAATAAAAACTAATTTTTGATTAACAACATTACCTCCCCAAATATACCAAGTCTGCTATCTGGCTGTGGTAGCTTCCCTCCTATTGGAATTCGCTCCCAGAGCTGCAGCAATTGTTCCCCAACCTGTGGCTCCAATTCCTGTACGTAACATATAAACCAGAAGAAAGTCTATTCTCTTGATATTTTAAGCCATATGTTGTTATTTGGAGCAGTAGATATAGTATGTTTTAAAAAGATAGTTTAAGACAGATACAGATATTTGAGGAGTACAATCAGAATCAGCATGGCATTCACCATCCAAAACTCCACAAACATTGAGCTCTCAAGTTACACTTACACACACACACACACGCAAAAGGTTATTCTCAAGCTTGGGAACTTGCTCATCAGAACTAAAATGTTAACAGACTCTGAAGTGAGTCAGAAACAATTCACATTTCAAGTCAAAGAATTGTGACAAGTTAGAAACGTAATCAGTTTTAACTGGGTGAAGTGGAGAAGCGTAGAAAAAGAAAAAAAAGCAGGTGAAATGCAGAATGGTGGGAAAAGAACAAAAAGGATTGGCAGGAAAACAGGAGCGATTAAAACAAAAACACAATTGGTTGCTACTATCGGACAAAAAAAGGGCGTGACAACAGGTCCATGGCATACCTCAGCCAATCACGTTTTTGTCTCTGGTATACATTGTTGTGTTCATTTGGAATGTGGCATTCTTGCATTCTTTGCCAAGAAGCCTCTCTTTCCATCAATAATCAAATAATGTTCTACCAAACAACAGTTTATAGGTGATCCACTTTTTCAGTGAATCAAGATAGCTGTGTAGCACATGGGTAGCTAGCTTCCCAACATGAAATTACATGGGATATATTTTTCATCCTTTCGTCTAAGATTATGACAAGCTTAATTGTCATGTACTTTTGTCAACAATCAAAAAAAAACTTTTCAAGCAAAGTCGCTTTGATCCAACAGCATTCATCTTAAACATGCTTTCATGATTTCTAAACAACTGCCCCAGCAGAAAACACCTTTTATTGGAAGGTAGGAGATCTTATACTAAAGTATTTCTCCTCACAGTACTATAATCAGTAAATGTTACATTACATCATATGGTAAACTTAAATATCTTTTGAAGTATCATTGCTAAGGGGACATATTACAAAAGAAATACTTCAGTGATTAGAAATCCAACAAACAATACACATTTCCAGTTCAAATCTGATTTACGAACATTATAAAAGACTGAAGTTATACATGAACTTTACAATAAATCCAAGATCATGTTATAAGATGGAAACTAAATGCCATTAATGGCTTCACATACCTCTGCAGCCTTTTTAATCATGACGTGCAAATGGACCAAAATATTGACAGCCTTACCAAAAGCGGCAATGCAGCATATTTAGAATGAACCCAACCTAAAAGCAAAGTCTGCAGCATAGCTCTGCTCATTTACAGAATTGCAAAAATGGCAATGGTCCACCACTAACACATGAAAATGTCAAAAAATGTAATCTCCTGAAATTTAAGGAATATTCATGTTAAAGGAAAATACAGCAGTGCACCAATATGACTGGCATGAAGGTCATGCTTATTTAGGTGCAACTTCAGTGAATAGGACATTTATTTAAAAATAAGTTAAGCAACTTCTTCAAACCATCAAATTGTGCAACCAGCTAAAAACAGAAAACAAGGAAATGCAGATCAGAGGAAGTGTGTCAAGGTTAATCTGAAGAACACACTAAAGCATTGTGGTACTCACCTCATTAAGAAATACAGCCAAATATTGTGCAATCTGAAAACCCATCCTACAGAACATAGGACACCGAGAAACTAACAGTTTTAGCAACTAAAGCGTGCATCATCACAAAACAGCTGACCAGATCACTAGCAGTTATCAAATGCAAATAAATAACATCAGCCATTATTGCACATAATTATTACAATATTCCTAAAGCAAAGCAATTTTGAAACCTATGTTAGTGTGTTGTGAATATCATTGCAACTGGAAAAATATCTCAAATCACCCTACACTATTTTACACCACTTAGATGTTCAAATACTGACCAGCAGAGAATCAAGAACCTCAGTTCTTAAAGCATTGGTGTATTCTTCAAATTCAAATTATTGATCAAATTAAACTATTTTCTTTCTGTCTCTAAATGTTAAATATACAAGATTTAAATAGAATAAAAATAGATTTTTTTCAGCAATTTCTGTTTTTGTTTAATTTCCAGCATCCACAGTCCTTTCTGTTTGTTTAATGAATAAAAATTGAGTATACCTTATAAATCAAAAAATTCATTCCACTGCAAAAAACTGATATGGAAGTACAGTACCACAGAACTTCTTACAGTTCTGAGAAAAATAAATTGTAAATATACTGAAAGGTAAATTATATACCTGTCCATCTCTGCTTATTTGGACTTTCTTATTATCATTCCATGGGTTCAACAGATGGTGGGCATATTGAAAAGGAAGGCTTTCTTTTCTTATCCATTCAACTCGGAAGACTCCTCCTAGCCCAGCAGAACCCCACTCCTGGCTTCTCTCCCGCCCAATCTCTGAAATCATTCTGGCAAAGCCCTAAAGAAGACGGAGTAAGTTTTAATTAGTTAGAAATCAATTTTAACTTTACAAATTACTCATTAGTTGATCTTTTTCATTCACAGCCGACAAGTAATGGATGCTTAAGAATGTTTCAGCTAACGAAATTACTCTCAAGTGTCATGGAGTGAGCATTTGGGTTACACATTCCGTGAAATACTAATGCTACATCTTACTTTTGATGGTTTGATTCTTAGTTTTTTGTCCATCAACGCAATGAAGAAACATCATTATATTCCCAAGTCAGGATGGTGAGTGGCTTGGACAGGAACCTGTCAGTGGTGGTGTTCCCATATATGTACTTTTGCCTTTCTAGATAGAAGTGGTCATGGGTTTGGTGGCTGCTGCCTAAGGATCTTTTGGGGAATTTCTTCAGTTCATCATGTAAATGGTACATATTGCTGCTACTGAGCATTGGTGGTACAGTAGGCATTAAAAACATTGGGCAGGTAAAATTAGGGAGAAACCCTAGATATACTGTAAATATATCAAGGGCAAGGGGGTAACCAGACAAAGAGCTGAGACCATAAATGGCCAAGGAGTAATGTATGTTGATAAGGACATTGGCAGTGTGTTAAATGAGTACTTCACATCAGTCTTCACTTTGGATGAGGAAGAAGGTACAGAAGAGGGACTGTAAAGTTCTTCAGCAGTTTGACATGAGGAGTGAGGAGGTATTGGAGGTTTGATGGTTTTAAGATTGGATAAATCCCTAGGTCCGGAGGCGTTGTACCCCAGGCCACTTTGGGAGATGAGACAGGAAATTACATGGGTTCTGACCCAAATTTTGAATTGTTGAACAAAAGGTAGCTGAGAGAAGGGGCATACCTATAGACAGCAAGATGTGACCTCAGCAAGAAGTGAGAGTGACTGGATCATTCAAGAGTAGGTGACACCATTGAAACTAAATGGATGTCTGCAACTGACCACTATTGTTAACAACTGATGACTATCTAGAAATTTGTTTTTATTCACGTCCAAATGGGCATCTTTGGATAGATCAGGTTTTATTGTCTTCGTGAAGGTGGTGGTGAGCTGCCTCTTGCATCAGTACAGTTCGTGTGGTATAGGTACAACCCCAATATTTTTAAGGAGGGAGCTCCTAGTTTTTGACCCAGTAACAGAAAGGAATGGTCATATAGACCCACGTCAAGACAATCTGTGGCTTGGAGGCGGTTATGTTCCCATGTATTTCCTGCCTTGCCCTTCTAGATGGAAGGAGACTGCAGGTTTGAAAAGATGCTGTCCAAGGAGCCTAGGTGAGTTGTTGCAATGCATCTTGTAGATAGTTCACACTGCTGCTAGAGTGTGCTGGAGGTAAAGGAGCTGAATATTAAAGGTGGTGGATGGAGTGCCAATTAAGTGGTCTGCTGTGTCTTGGATGGCATCAAGACTCTTGAGTGTTGTTATAGCTGCACTCATCTAGGCAAGTGGGGAACATTCCAATTTGTGCCTTATAGATGGTGGACAGGCTCAAAAGGAGCCACATAGTGAGACTCTTGTCACAGAATTACCAGCCTCCGACCTATTCTCGTTACCAGTATTTAAATGGCTGGTCCAGTTCAGTTTCTGGTCATTGGTGGCCCTCAAGATGTTGATAATGGAGAAATGGTAATGCCACAGATGGTCAAGGCTATGGCAAAGCAAGTCAATATCCAAATACCGATTAAATGTTAAGAGTTTCTAACTCAAACCACCCTTTCAGGCAGTGAGATTCAGAATCTCAACACCCTCTGGACGAAAACATTTCATTTCACTCTCCTTTTAGCCTTCTACTTGTTACCTTAAATCTACGTCTTTTGGTTACTGATCCTTTCACTAATGGAAAAAGTGCCTTTCTATCCACCTTGTCTGTGCCCCTCAATCTCGCACACATCTGTTAGGGCTGTTCTCAATCTTCGATGCTCTAAGGAAAACAACTCTAATCTATCCAATATTCCCTCATTGCTCAGTCCCTCCAGCCCAGGCTATATCCTAGTAAATCTCATCTGCATCCTTTTTAATACAAATCACATCCTTCCTATAATGTGGTGACCAAGACTGCATGCAGTATTCCAGTTATAGCCTACCAAGTGTTTTTGCACATCTCCAGTATAACCTTCCTGCTCTTCTAGTCTATGCCTCAGTAAATAGACAAGTATTTCACATGCCTTCTTAACCAGCTTAACTATCTACCCTGCTCCCTTCAGGGACCTGTGGATAAGCACACCAAGGTCCTTCTGATCTTCTGTACCTTCCAGGTCCTACCATTCATCGTGTAATCGCTTGCCTTCTTAGCCCTCCATAAATTCCATCAAATCCGTAACTTGCAGATTATCTAAAAGGGTTTAAGGTATCAGGAATGACTCATTGCAGAATACCCAAACTCTGGTTTACTCTTGTAGGCACAGTATTTATTTTGCTAGCTCAGTTACAGGTGAGGATCCAGCAACATTGAATAAAAAGCAGAGATGTTTAGAATCTTTCTTGTTGGAGATAATCATTACCTGATAGCGAGTGGTGCAAATGTTACTTGGCAATTACCAATCCAAGTCTGACTATTGTCCAGATCTTTCTCCATGTGTGAACAGACTACTTCATTACTTGAAACAACTACATTACAAATGGAAAGAGGAAATTCCCACTTATGACTTTGTGATGGAGGGAAGGCCATTGATGAAACCAGTAAAGACTTTAGGTCTAAGAAATTATCTCACTTTAAAGAATGCCTGCAGTGATGTCCTGTGCCCGAGATGACTGACCTCCAAAAACCAAACAAACCTCCTTAAGCAAGGTATTATTCCAGCTAGTGGAGAATTATCCCGGATTCCCACTGATATCTCTTTTACTCAGGCTCCTTAATGCTACACTTGGTCAAAAGCTGCCTTAATGTTGAAGAAAGTCACACTTGTCCTATGTATAGAATTCAGCTCTCCTGTCCACGTTTATATCAAGACTGGAGTAGAGTTGTCTTGGCAGAATCCAAAGTATCATTAAACAAGTTATATTCTTAACGATAGCACAATCAACAAGACCATCCTAAACTTTGCAAATGGGGAAATACTTGGGGAGACACTGGCTTAGTGGTAATGTCACTGGACTAGTGCTTGAGGCGCCCAGGCTAATGCTGTGTGGACGGGAATTCAAATCGCACTATGGCAGCTAGTGAATTTAAATTCAGTTAATAAATCTAAAATTTAAAGTTAGTCTCAGTAATGGTGGGGTCTGACTATTATTGATATTTATAAAAACCTATCTGGTTCACTAACGTCCTTTGAGAAAGAAAATCTGCTACCCACACCCAGTCTGGCCGACATACAACTTCAGACCCAATTTAAAAGGCCCTCTGAAATGGCCTAACAAGCTATACAGTTCAAAAGCAATTTGGGGTGCCTATATTCCATAAAATAAAAGGGAAATAAACCAAATTATTGCACAAAGTAGTATTTTCACAAGGAAAATGAATCTGAAGAAGAAAATCATTTAATATATTGAAATTTCAACCAAGGAACAATAAATGTGACACATAATTCATAAACTGTTATTTGTTAAGGACCTTAAGATACTTGATTCAAGAAATTAAGAGGATTTAAGAGAATATTACAGATAACACAGAACATTTGTTTATTAACTGAAGAGAATAAATATATAGCTGTTAAATATTTCCATAGAATTTTTTAAATTACCTGGAAGTGCCCTGATCCTTGCACAGAAAATACTAGATACACAATGCTGCTTTCCCAAAATGCACGATTTAGTTTGCGTTCATTGCTAGGTGTAGTGGACCAGATCCCCTTTTGTTGAGAAATCTCAAGATTACGAAGATTGCTGCTCTTCAAAATGAAAAATCGCACTGGTACATTCGGTCTTGGTGATGGAGATTTAGAGCCCTAAAGAGAAATAAGAGAACTCATTTTTTTTTTTTAAAAATCTTTTTGCATCCTGTTCCAAAATGTCTTCAAATTCTTGGCTGGAGATGACCTGAAATCAATCTCAGACGCTTTTCAACACGTTGGCAAAATAGATTGGCTGACGAGAGACAAAAATCCTTCATCCCGGACAATTTTAACCTTAAGACTCAAACATCCTATTCCAGTCATCAGCAAGCATTCAACTTATTTAGCTGAAACGGAATTGCAGCAGCAGTAGCACTTTTAAATGTAACATTAAATTTAGACAGTATTAAAAATGCAAACAGAACTCCTAGGAAAGCAAACAACCCATAAACAAAACTTAAATTATGTTGTACTGTGAAGATAATTTAAATTAAGTAGTGATGCAAAGTTGGTGGTAGTACTTGTGGATTGGAAGACAGGAGGTTAGAATTTGTAAAATGATAGGGGGAAGAATGCGTGGTCCCTCTAAAACGTGTTTTTTTAGGCTTGGAGATTTAAAAAAATCTGCAGGGGGCAGCAGATGCACAGAGTTCTCGAAATTGAAACATTGTTTCAAAAGGCTATACTGTTAACAGGCAAAGCAGCATTTTTACCAAGACTATAGGTTTTTGAATTTAGCCAATTAATTTAAACCAGGCCCTAGATACCAAAGCCCAGTTAAAATTTAAATTTAGTGGTTTTGACAACCTCAGACCAAACATATTGTAAGAAGTTAATAGGTCATCAAGGGCATAAAAGAGGAGGACATTTGAAAATCAGCGTGAGAGCAAACTGCCAACTGTTAAGGGAACAGCTCTCAACAGCCCTAAAGAAAGAGAAAATCACTTCTCTCACAGAAATCACTAAAATCTCACAGTAAGCACTATCTAAATAAAGGTACAATGGCACTCTTAGCTAATATTCCTGACACAAGAATTCGATGGAGGACAGCGTTCTTGACTGAAAGATAGTGGAGAAAGCAAAGAACATTCCAGAAGACTTATCCTGGCTGTAATTTCAAGAGATTAAGTTTTTTAAAATTAATTTATATAAGCAGGACATGTATCTGTTAGAACAGCATACCATTAGAATTTTATTTTATTTGGGAATAGTTAGTAATTAAGGGAGAATTGTTCGGTTTGTTAGTAGTTCTGTAACTTGTTCACTGTTAGAGTTAGATAAATAAATTGTTATTTGTTGCTTATAAAGTGAGTATCAGGGATTTCTTTCATTTAACCACGACTTTATAACAGATTGGGGGTGTGAGGCGGATTATACCGCTGTTCACACTTACTTTAAACAGATTATGAGGCAAGGTGAGCATCTGAGTGTTTTGGTTTTAATTATCAGAGAGGGGTCGATCACCCTTTCATAACAGTATGAGAAATATTATAATTCCAGCTGATGTTATTACTGGACCAATCAGATCCCAGTCTGAACCCTGGTTTGATAGACTTTTTTCTTGATTTTAATGAGGTGGTCTGTGAAACATAACTGTGCAATGCTGCACATGTGGTTCTAACAATTAAAACTTTTTCATACAAACCGTACGAGGATATCAGACAATAAACCAAAATCTTTACATACAACACCCTTTTGCATTACTCAAATACCAGAAAGAATTCCCTTCTACACCAATATTTATACAGCTTAAATTAATTGATGCTTCAAATATTAGTGTCAAGAATTTGATACCCTCTTCCTCAAGTCTTCGTGCAACTTAGCTTAGACTTCCTCAGCTTCAAATATTGCCTTAAGGGTTTTAACAAAACACTTTAGTCTGGAACTTACCATCTAAACTCCTTACAATGAGGTAATCCATTTCTTAACAATCTCCCATCTTCAGGGCAAACTAGTTTATCTACCCAACTTCATAAATGATTTCTAAAAACTAAAAGGTTTCTTAAAGCTGTGGGTATTTCCATTATAAAAAACATTCTAGATCTTCTCTGAAGCCAATTTACTTTGCTAACTCAAAAATGCTTTCAATGTAAACAAATTCCCATTAGGCTCCAACAACACTCACTCTCATGCCTGTTTCTTTAAAAACATCACAATGGCTAAAGAAATACTTCCAAGTTAATCATTAAACCTTTGCATATACATACAACAACTCCCCCATGGCACTAGTTCAAAACAACCTCTAAAATAAATGATATTAAAACATATATATCACACACCTTGCATCAGACTATCTACCTTAATACATTATAATGAAACCGTCTTCAATAAAAAAAAATCACAACAGCACCTTGTATTTAGACAGCACATTTAACATTACAAAATGTCCCAAGATAGTTCACTAGGAGTATTATAAAGCAAAGCACACACTGCAACACAAAGAAATATTTGTTATATTTCAAGGAACGTCTTAAAAGAAGAAAGGATAAAAGGGTGGAGAGGTACAGGGAAGGTGTTTACGAGGTTGGGACCTTGACATGTGAAAGCATGCCACCAAAATTAGGAATGCACAAGAAGCCTGAACAGAGGAACACATATCAACACATGTTGATATTCTAGTCCTGTCGATATAACGAAGGTACTGCTGGGTGTTTTGAAAAGCATTAAGGTAGACAAGTCCCCAGGACCTGATAAGATCCACCATAGAATACTGAGGGTTGGAGGAAGGAAAGAAATTACTAGGACCTTGTATAAAATCTTTGTATCCTCTTTAGTCACAGTTGAGGTCTCGGAGGACGAGAGAATAGCCAATGTTGTTCCTTTGTTTAAGTGCAACAGGGATAATCCAGGAAATTACAGGCCAGTGAGCCTTACATCAATGGAGGGGATACTGCTGGAGAAGATTCTTAGTGTCAGGATTTATTCATATTTGGAAAATATAGGCTAATTAGCATCGAGTAGCATGGTTTTGTGCAGGGGAGGTAATGTCTCACAAACTTGATTCAGGTTTTGAGGAAGTGACAAAGATGACTGATGAGGGCAGAGTGGCAGATGTTGTCTACATGGATTTGAGCAAGGCCTTTGATTAAAGTCCCGCATGGCAGGCTGATACAGATGGTGAAGTCACATGGGATCTGTGGTGAGCTGTTAAGAAGAATACAGAAGTGGCTTGGTCATAGAAGACAGTGGAAGGGTGTTTTTTCTGACTGGAGATCTGTGACCAGTGGTGTTCCACAGGGATTAGTGCTGGGACCCTTGTTATTTGTTTTATGTATATAAAATATATGAAAATATATATGAGATGGCAGAGAATGTAGGTGGTCTGATTAGAAAGTTTGGGGAGGGTTGGGGGAACTGCAGATAGTGAGGAGGATTGCCAGACGATACGGCAAGACATTGATAGGGTGGATACATGGGCGGAGAAATAGCAGATGGAATTTAATTCAGCCAAATGTGAGGTGATACATTTTGGAAGGTCTATTGAAAGAGGAAGTATTCAGTAAATGGCAGAATCCTTAGAAGCATTAGCATACAGAGGGATGAGGTTGTTTACTTGCTCGCCAAGTTGGCTTGTTCTCGTTCAGACGTTCAGTCACCATGCTAGGTGACATCATCAGTGGAGCCTCTAATGAAGCAGTGTTCTTCTACTCTGCTTGGAATTTATACTGTTTGGTCCAAATGGTGAGTAGTGTCATTTCCAGTTTTGATCTGTATGGGTTTTTAAATGGGGTCTAATTCTATGTGTTTGTTGATTGTATTACAGGTGGAGAATCATGCCTCTAGTAATTCCCATGCATGTTTATGTTTGGCTTGGGCTACTATGGTTACCCTGTCTCATTTAAACTGATGGCCTTGGGTATTGTGATTAGATCGCCATTACGGACCAGACAGTATAAATTCTAAATGAAGTAGAAGAACATCACTTCATTGGAGGCTCCACTGATGATGTCAACTAGCATGGTGACGAAACATCTGAACGAGAACAAGTCAGCTCGGCGAACAAGTTAACAACCTGACCCACAACCCGAGCTACAGATCTTTGCCAAAACTTGGAATACAGAGGGATCTAGGCATACAGGTCCACAGTTCCCTGAAAGTGTCAATGCAAGTGGATAAGGTAGTCAGGAAAGCATATGACATTCTTGTCTTTATTGGTCGAGGCATAGAGTATAACTATTGGCAAGTCATGTTGCAGCTGTATAGAACTTTACTTAGGCCACATTTGGATTACGGCATATAGTTCTGGTCGCCACACTATCAGAAGGTTGTGCAGGCTTTGAAGAGGGTACAGAAAAGGTTTATCAGGATGTGCCTGGTTTAGAGGGTATTAGTTACGAGAAGAGATTGGACAAACTTAGTTTGTTTTCACTTGATCGTTAGAGGCCGAGGGGCTGACCTAATAGAGGTTTACAAAATTATGAGATGCATGGATAGAATGGATAGTCAAGAGTCCCTTTCCCAGGCTAGAAATGTCAGTTACTAGGGGACCAAGGCTTAAGGTAAAAGGGAGAAAGTTTAAAGAAGATGTGAGTCGCAGATATTTAAACACAGCATGGTAACTGTGTGGAGAGTGCTGCTAGGGGTGGGGACAGAAGCAGATACAATAGCAATTTTCTGAAGGGTCTAGGCCCGAAACGTCAGCCTTCCTGCTCCTCTGATGCTGCTTGGCCTGCTGTGCTCATCCAGCTCTGCACCTTGTATTCTCACAATAGCAATGCTTAACAGGTCTCTTGACAGATTCATGAACAGGAAGGGAGTAAAGTGTTACAGACAGTGTAGAGGTAAAAGGTTTTTAGTCTTGAGTTTGGCATCATATGTGTCAGTGTAGGCTTGGTAGGCCAAAGGGCCTGTGTTCCTGTGCTATACTGCTCTTTGTTCTTATATCTCAAAGTTTTGGGACTGAAGATCAGAGCTAAGGAGAGGTGAAGCAACAGAGGGATTTGAAAACAAAGATAACCAAGTGTTGCCTGACCAGGAGCCAATGTAGGTCAGTGAGCACAGAACTAATTGGGGAATGGGACTTACTGTGAACTAAGACACAGGCAGGGGAGCTTAGGATGACCTCAAGTGCTTGAAGGGAGAAAGAGAGAGATAAGCCAGGAATGCATTGCATAGAGGAGTCTAGAGGTATTAAAGGTATCATCAGCTGCTGAACTGAGACAGCGGCAAAGATAGGCATATTATGTGGGTGTACAAATATGAAGTCCGAAGTTCACCTTGCAGTCAAATGTGACACGAAGGTTGCAGAAAGACTGGTCTAATCTCACGTGGTTGCCAGTAATCAGTAGCTTGGGAACGAGCATAGAGCAAGGATCAAAAACAACGGTTTCAGTTTTTCTGATGATTAACTGGAGGAAATTTCTGTTTATCCACTAACAGATGTTGCATAAGGCGGCTATACTTTAGCAACAGTGGAGGAGTGGAGTGTATTAGTGGGGTAGCGGGGAGGGCCACAAAATAAATACATTTGTTTAGTAAGTTGCTCCATGGAAAGAAATCCAAGTATACAAAATATTTTTTCAAAAATCAATTAATTGAAAGAGATAAACATTAAACTGAAAGAGAAACAACTATGAAAATGGGATTAAATTTGAGTTTGAAATAAAATAAACCAGCAGTGACACAATGGGCTGAATTTTCCAAATTTGAAAATATTTGGGAGATGGGACCATTTGTGGAGCTCCCAACTCTGTTCAGGGCTGCAGCTTGACAGCTGATAGCAATGAGCATGTCTATCCATTCTCATCCAATGACAATGGTGGATAGTTCGAGGTTAGACAGCCCGAGTGCCCAAAGTGAAAGGTGACTGGTAGGGCTAACGTGAAGGTGATGTAATGCTGAGCTGCAGACAGCAGGGGAGGTCAGCACGAGATACAGTCGTTCAACGATGGGACCGGCAGCTATTTCTTAATGCTCATTACAATCCACTGGAAATGTCTGCAGGTGGAGCACAGATTTCCAATTTTTTTATGAGCAGATGACCTAAGGTTTGCCAATTTGAACGTACAATGTCAATACTGCATGTGCACGTTATGGCTCCAACCTCTCATTGTGCCCCAGTAGAAAATTCCAAATTCCTTCGAAAAATGGTCACTAATTAGCTCGATTATTACTTTCACTATCTTCCAGTTAGAATTGCAGGGCATGCAACAGTCAAATTCTTAAAGCGGACTCCAGAAAAATCGCAAGCTGGTGGGAACATATAAAGAAGCTGTCCCTGCGCCTTTTCCCTTATATTTTCTGATACCCCACCTCCAAGGTCGACTGTATGCTGCAAGGAACATTCTACCTAACGGAGAAGAAATAAGCTGTTCAATCTATCAAATTCAATTACTCTTGAGAGCATTTCAATAAACAAACTTACTTTGCCTGAAGGTGGAGGAGACGGGCTGGCACAGGGGCTGGGATAGTTGCTGCTGTCTGTCGATTTTACAGATGACTGATCTGATCTGTCATCAGCACTCCTCTTAGGATGGAGGAAGCCCCTCTCTTTGTACCTTTGCTGCTGCTGCTGCTGCGACTTTAACTGAACCCTATAAAAAAGAAAAATACTGGTTTGTACTATTTTTGAAAATGTAAAACAACAAACTTTTTAAAAGGAAATTAAGTATTTCTAAAAAGTAGAGGGTACAGAGAAAAAGCAGGGTAAAGAAGTTAAATGAAAATCTCCGAGACACTCAACACAAAAGCGATATGCCAATGATCTACCACTGTGCTGTAAAATTCTAATTCTATCATCTTTCACAATAACATTACTATAATTTTACATTTGAGAGGTCAATTACCACCATCTTACATGTGTAAGTGGACACTAGTGAATAGTTCTCCTCAGTCAAACAAGCATAGAGATAATACAAAAGCAAAACACTGTGGTAGCTAGAAATGTGAAATAAAGCAGAAAATGCTGGATATTGCAAATCAGGCAGCATTTGTGAAGAGGAAACTGGCATATTTGTTCCCTCTGTGAGGTGGCAAGAATAACAGAGTGTAATGTCTTAATTGGGCCAAACATCAGATTCTCACAGTTGAGAAGCAATGTCACAATTAAGTCCTCGCTCCTTAGATGGAGAGATCAAATGCTCACCATCAAGTGGCAAGAAGTCTATTTGTATGCAATTGCACTTATTAATTACAGACTCACCCTATTAACTTCCCTGTCGATTAACCTCTCCCTAATCAAGAAACTCAAATGCTTCAAAAAGTAAAAACTGAATAGGTACTTGTCAAGTTGGTGCCTCTGACTCCAGTCTGGGTGAATTCATGGCTCTACTTTGGTTGGAAAAATTATAACTACAGCAAACTCTTCTTGGACCCTCTATCCACACAACTGTACAATGACAACATATCACCCTCAAAGCCTCAGGTTGTGTGTAATTGAGATGGCTCAAGCAACACTTGTAATCTCACAGCTAGCTTTTCTGGGTGGATTCAGGCAGCAATCCCTCAGTCTGAATTTGTGATTTTTGTGGGCAGGGTCAGTTCGCAGTTAACAGTGGTGAAGATATAACCGTCATGGAGAGGATGAATGTATCATTGTACAGTGCGTCATCAATGTATGTGGCAAACACAGCTGCATGTGCTTGAAGAGGATGGCATTATGTGAATGTCAGAAGAAATGAATGTTTATTGAGATGATGGTGGACTCCAGTAATTCAAGGGGTAGCACAGTCAATTCAGGACTAGTCCATTTCTACTCCTAGAGGGTGGTGAAGGGTTGGTCATGGTCAGTCAGGCAGTTGGTTTGTTGCAAGTCTGGGGATCCTGGGCTTTTATTAATAGTGCATAGAGTACAACAAGATTGGTGATGCTTAACTTGTCTAAGACACTTGTTAGAACTCAACATGAGTATTGTATACAGTTCTGGGTGTCACTATATAAGAAGCATGTGAAAGTACAGAATGCAGAACAGATTTACAAGAATGGTTAGAGATGAGAAATTTCTGTTATGTGGATAGACTGGAGAGGTTAGGATTGTTTTCCTTGGAGAGAAGACGGTGAAGTGGAAATCTAATAGCTTGCAGAATCATGAGCGATCTGGATAAAGTAGATAAGAAGAAACTGTTCCCATTCATTAATGGAACAAGAACAAGAGGGCACAGATTTAAAGTGATTTGAAAAAGACAAAGGCGAGGCAAGAAAGAACTTTTTCACACCATAAGTGGTTCGAGTCTGGAAACTGGTGGACGCAGGTTCAATTGAGGCATTCAAGAGGGAACTGAATGATTATTTAAATAGAAACAATGTTCAAGGCATGAAAAAAATAGTAGAAGAATGAAACTAAGTCATAATGCTCACTGGAGAGCTGGTGCAGACACAATGGGCCAAATGGCCTCCTTCTGTGACATAACACTTGTGTGATTCAGTTTTCATTGTTTATCACTATGCAATAAAAGGTGTAGTCCTTGCAAGTGCGGATCTGATGTCTTCATCTCTTTTAAGAGAAAGTTCCTGTACACACCTTACCCTAGCCAAATGCTACTAATAAAGCAACTGTGTTAGTGAGTGCATCTACACATCAGTTTGAACTAAAATGGTCCTTTATGCCAAAGACATCAGGGTCACATTAGGGAGTACACACCTTCAAAAGGATGAGCAAGTCAAAAATTCTTAGATTTTTCCTTCTGAGCGCTCCTACGTCTGTATTCCTTCAATCTTTCAGAGTGCCATGATTCTTCCCCACACCGTTCCTATGCCTAAACATCCTCTATGCCATTACTTAAAGTATAATGCGATTTTTTTGTCTCTTCTCTGTAGAGTGTTGCAAAACATGGGAAACAAAATATAGGTGGCAGCACGAGCCATCACACACGTTTAAATATTACAGCATTCTGTTGAGACACAGAACAAGACAAAGCTTTCCCTCCTGAAATGCAGGGAAGCATCATAGATTCCAAAATCTTTCCTACAAAGTGCACTTAAAAGATTTGGATCCTCCTCTACATCTTATAGTTAGCCTCAAAGTCCCCAACATTCAGCTGTAGCACCTTGGCTGCACTCTCCAAGTTAAGGTTCTGTAGTTCTCTGTTGGATGAGGCTGAGGCTATCTGTAGTTGCCCACATTGCTGATAACGAGAGAAAAGCCCACTGCAATGATTGCAGAACAACATATTCTTTTGCTGACATCCTTGGTTGTCCAGAGGGCAGTTCAGGGTTGTCTGCATTGCTGTAGGCCTGGAGTTGCGTGTGGGCCGGGCTGGGTAGGGGCAGTGAATTTCCTTCCCCAGGGTCCATTTGTGGTCCAGTTGGTTTTTTGTGATGGTTGACAGCAGTTGCACAGTCACTATTGAGCCAGCATTTTATTTAAGGTTTTTTGTTTTTGAATTCAAATTTCATCACATCTCATGTCCCAGAACATTGGCTGGGAGTACTGGATTGCAGGTCCAGAGTCATTATCACTGCATCGCCTGTCTCCTCAAACCCAGCTAACAGTCTAAGACACTTGCATGCAGCTGGGTAGTTCTGGTACAGGACAAGCAATCCTGCAGGTGTGAGCTCATGCCCCACAGTTACTAAATGAAATTTAATTCACTAAATCTGGTCATTTCAGACTAAACAGAAAAAGTGAAAAGCTGATATTGTTATAAAAATCCAACTGGATCCTGAAGCTAAACCTCCCACACCCACATTTATGATCAATCCTGCCTCATGGGAGCACTGTCACACTTAACAATAGTTCACAGGTTCAAATCCCACCGCAATGAGACTCAACTACCACAGGAACACAGTAGTGAGGGAATGCTGCGCAGTCAGAAGGGCTGTCTTTTGAATGAAACATTAAACCAAGGCCCTCCTTGTCCTCGCAGATGAACACAACACTATTTGAAGACAAGCATATGGCGGTCAACACTTATGTTTCACAAACTTCACGGATTAACACATCATTGTTTATTGATGTTTTGTATGTTCAAAATGACTGCTACATTACAGTGATTACATAAAGTGAAGAAGCTGATTAATGGCTCACCACCACCTTGTACAGGGCAATTAGGGATGGACAATAAATGCAGCCAGCAACAACCCAAACTGCAAAGAGATCAAAAAAAATTTGCACCTGGCAGTCTCAACAGCCTTAATTCTCTGAGAATCTGCCTGTGAAAACTGGTACCAAATTTAGAAAAAACGAAGGGAAATAAATGAAATGTTGTTAGAAAATTTGGTAATGACTTCGAAACAGCACAGCCTCAGCAGTGTGCATCATCGTGGCCAGTAAAAATGGCAGGGTCTTTGGGAAAGCTTCTGATGTGTGGAATGTAAGATGTGGGATATTTTGGATCCACAAGATATCTAGGACAGTCACATCTGCATATAGTGCCAGAGGTGGCAGTTCTTGAACTACAGATGGCTGATTTGGAGTATTGATTTGGAGATGGGTACCGAGGTCAAAAATTCTAAATTTGCAAATGAGACTAAGGTAGTGAGAAAGTGAATTTGAAAGAATGACACTAAGTGACTTCACAGGGACATTAACAAGTTGGCCAAATGGACAGACACCTAGCAAATGAATTTCAATACAGTGAAATGTGAGATAATGTAGAAGAAACATGGAGGCAATAGAGACTCAATGGCACAACTTTGAGCAGGATAAAGGGGGAGGTGATGGCCTAGTAGTGTTAGTTATCACTGGATTGTTAACCCAGAGGCCTAGATAAAGTTCTGGGGACCTGGATTTGAATCCCGCCACGACAGGTGGTGGAGCTTGAATTCAAAAAAATATCTGGAATTAAGAGTCTAATGATGACCGTGAGTCCATTGTTGATTGTTAGAAAAACCCATCTGGTTCACTAATGTCCTTTAGGGAAAGAAACTGCCATTCTGATCTGATCTGGCCAACATGTGAATCCAGACCCACAGCAATGTGGTTAACCACTAACTGACCTCTAGGCGATTAGGGATAGGCAGTAAATGCTGCCTAACCAGCGACACCCTCATCCCATGAATGAATAAAGAAAAAATAAGGTGCAGAGGGACCTCAGGGTTCAAGTCCAAAACATCTCTAATGATGGCAAGGCAAATTGAAATAGTTCTTAAGAAGGCTTATAAAGTATATAGTAAAGGCACACAGTATAAAAGGCAGGAAGTGATACAACACCTCTACAAAGTAATTGCTCAGACCAATATAATTATTTTTCAGTTCTGGACACGTTATTTAACGAAGGATGCTAAAGCTTTGGAGAGAGTGCAAAGGAGATTTACTAGAATGATACCAGGAATGAGGGTTTTTAAATACAAGGAAAAATTACAGAAATTAAAATTATTCTTCTTGGAACAGATAAGATTACAGGTAATCTCATTGGAGGCGTTCAAGTATACACACAATTTTGACAGGGTAAAGAAGGACATTTTGTTTTCACTAGGTAGTATGTCAGTAATTAGGGGTCACAATTACAATACAGTCAACAAGAGAGCTAGGAGAGAGAGGAGGAGAAATTTTACTCAGAGTTGTTGGGATTTGGAATGTGCTGCCTGGGAGAGTGGTGTAAACAAATTCCATAGGGAGGTTTCAGGAGAATGCAGAATATGTATTTGAATGTAATGAATTTAGAGGACTACAGAGATAGGACTGAAAAATGATACTAGCTGGATAACTGTTTTGGGAGCAGGTACAGACATGATTGGCTGAATGGCCTCTTTGTGTACTGTTAAATTCTGATTCCATGTTCTACAATGCCCCACCTAGCCTGAGGCAATAGGAACAATAAGACTACAGGAGATATTAGAATAGTGGAAGCGAACAAAAGTGCAAATTGTATACAGCAGTTGAACCTCCATGACACTGATGTGCCCTTAATGTTTTTTTCCTTCCTCTCCCTTCACACTACATTTATATGAAGGACTGACATCTGCAATTAGAGTGGAGGATTCCTGCTGTGAGGTATACCTTGTTGACTTTGAAGATTTTGGCAACTATCCCGTGGCTTTCAACGCAGAGGGCCTCATACTGCTGAGAATGCCCCGACTGCAGACAAGTTCACCTTCCTGGGCTGAAATGCTGGAGGCATTAGAGTCACAGGCAGGGTTGAGGTGGATGGGCAACGTATCTCTGAACTGTCCTGAGAAGAAGCTGTCAGGTACCTGTCAGTCACTTCAAAGAAAGGACACCTGGGGCGAGGTTCAGGTGCTTCATCCCTCTCTGGGCTTGCTACTGATGCTGTACATTGGCTGCTAAATTGATGGAGTGCAGGTCCATATGCATACCCAGCAGGGTGCTGTTGAACTTGGGTCTCCAAGGTGGCTGCCACCCTTTCCATAGAAACTGGCAGTGTTTGTATACCAGAGCCATAACAGAGCATGGATAGATTCCCTTAATCTTTCATTCCAGCTCACCATGTATCTGTCTAATTTTTGATGTCTCCCTCTCTGCAGATTGACACTGAAACGTACGACTGTGTTCAGGGGCAAGTCTTCTGCATGGGGCCTACTCTTACCCATTCCTGTCACCAGACCTAATGTGTGTTGTACCGACCCTCCTCCTCCTGACTTGATTTTTTCCCCACCCACCACCGATCTACCTTAAACACTACAATCACTTACTTGACCCCTTGTCACCTGATAGTCTGCAGCCACCCACAGCATTCTATCCACTGCACACCCCATTCTCCATCCAGCTGCTGGATTTCTTTATTCATTCACGGGGGTGGGTCTGGAGTCACATGTAGGCCAGACAAGGTAAGGATGGCAGTTTCCTTCCCTAAAGGACATTAGCAAACGAGATGGGTTTTTCCCCTGACAATCGGCAATGGATTTATGATCATCATTTGACTTCAAATTCCACCATCTGCCGTGGCGGGATTCGAACCCAGGTCCCCAGAACATTATCTGGGTCTCTGGATTAAACAGTCCAGTGATAATACCACTAGGCCATCGCCTCCCTTACTTAACTTGCGTATTTAATATTTGACAGCAGCTGTCAAGGTTTCAGTCTGTGATGTCGGATTTCTAAATTTCAGAGTATGACTGTGAAATGAGGGTGTGGTTTGCCTTCTTGATAGTACTGCACTACGACAAAACTGTCAGAAAGGAATTCCAGCCCTGCATTTCTGAAGGAGCACTGGTCGGAATCTCCTCTCAGAAATGTGAACCTCTCTCCTTTCCTAAACAAGGAGGGACTGGGTAGAAATCAGAGAGAGACTGCCATCCCTCAGAAGATCATGCACTTTTCAATTACCATAACTAAGACATGCAGTCATACCTCCTAACAACTCATGAATTATTTCCGTTCATGTCACCGTTCTTCGTTCAAATTGCTCTATTAACCTTGTCTGTTTACATGAAGGCCATTACATAATCTAGAAATCACCTCATACTTAAGTAGAGCGATTCTCATGTCATCTGATAATATATGGCACGAGACGTGGTGTTATGCCATGGAATTTTTGTTTCAGTAACACCCAAGATTAGGTACTAAAAGAATACCCTCTTCCCATCAAGAGATATTTTTCAGATCAATTACTATTCAATTTGATGTATTGCTATAGTTCTACCTTTCCCTGAATTCCACACTGGAAGAATCATCTGAAAACTCTGTTTCAGCTGAACTTTTCCTGCTGTTCGACCTCCAAGATGAGGAGACAGGAAGTTCTTCCGAAGACATCGGTCTTGGTCTTTGTCCAATTCCAGAAGGTTGTTGCAACCCTGCTGCTTGCTCCTCACTGCTGAGGACTCCAATGATTGCTCTGATAGTTGCTTCATCTACCTGAGTCCAAGGTTTTGATGGAGCACGCATACGTCTCAGGAATAGACTGTGCCACTTCTGTCGTAACTGTAAGATAAGACTTGCTGCCTGTAACAAGACAGATAGTGAAAATTCATTAACAAAAAAGAAAACAAGCCGCACAATGAACTTGCATTTTTATGGTTCTTTATTATATCCTCAGATCATATCAAAGCAATTTAAAACCAATGGATTATTTTTGAAGTTAACTTATGTAGGCACATATGGCATATTAAACAACAAATGAACAGGTGACCTATTATTGCTCCGATTATTTTATCAAAAGGTGAAATCAGGAAAAATAAACTCAGGGTTCCAAAAGATGATAGATTGGACTCGAAACATTAACTTGTTTTTCTCTAGCATTTCCATTTTTTATTCTAGTAAACCTACGATTGAGTCAGCAACCTAAATGATTCATAGTTTGAGTGGAACTTCAGTCAAGACATTGTTCACTAAGTACTAATTTCAGATCATCCATACAATCTCCAATGGTACATCATGCACATGTATACGTGTCATTAATCTTACATAATCAAAGTGTATGCTTAGATCAGCGAATACATTTTGTAGCGAGATACCATGTGCCAGCAGTATAATGCTGATCAAAACATCACGACAGAGTGTGGTGGGGATGTTGGCAGGCTAGAGAGGAGATACGATCTTCATCCATGCTGAAATTAATTGTTCAACTGAATTATGTGGATTTTGGGATCAATCTGAATCTGAAGCACCACAGAATAAAACAGCCTCCTTTAGCAACAATATTGTTATCTGAATGCAGCATTAGACAGTTTCGATTTTGATTTGACTCAAGTCCAATTCAGATACCCAAGGACTGGAGCATGGTTCAACATACAGGAGTAGTGTGTGAAATCACCCGTGCAAAATCCAAAAGAGCTAAAAAAAAAAAAAAAACAAAAACAGGGGCGGAAAACACACAATACCTTGCATTATGATTCCTCGGAAAGAGCTAAACATGTGGAAGTGCAAATGTCCTGGGAGCAAGAAAATAATCCATACTTATGATTGGAGGAGTAAAACATACAGTAGAAACAGATCTGTGGTGAGGAATTGTACCTACAACCTCAGATTCCTTCTCTCCCTTTTGTTCTGCTCCAATCACAGGTTCCCTCCTTTTTGCACCAGTTGCTCCCACAGAATCAAATTGGAGGGTGGAGGGGCAGGAGGAAGGTGCCCTTATTTTCTAGCTCTCGTGAAATGAATGCTAATATTGTGTTTGCCTTCCTAACCGCCAACAAAACCCGCATGTTCACCTTAAGAGAATCATGAACTAGGACTCTCAAGTCTCTTTGCACTTCAGATTTCTGAAGCCTTTCCCCATTTAGAAAACAGTGTACACATCTATTCTTCCTACAAAATTGAATACCCTCACACTTTGCCACATTGTATTTCATCTGCCACTTCTTTGCCCACTCGCCTACTATATCCACATCCTTCTGCAGCCTCCTCAACATAACTTGTACCTCCACCTATCTTTGTGTCATCTGCAAACTTAGCAACAATGCCCTCAGTTACTTCACCAAGATAGTTATTGTACAACATGAATAGTTGTGGTCCCAACACTGACGCCTACAGAACTCCATTAGTCAGGTGCCATCCTAAAAGAGAACCCTTTATCACTACTCTCTGCCTTCTGCCAGTCAGCCAATCCTCTACTCATGCCAGTACCTTCCCCTAACACCATTACCTCTTATCTTATTTAGCAACTTCCTGTGTGGCACCTTGTCAAAGGTCTTCTGAAAATCTAAATAGATCACATCCACTTGCTCTCCTTTGTCAGGCATGACAACCCTTTGACAAAGCCATGCTAACTCAGCCTTATTTTACCATGCACTTCCAAGTACTCCATAATCTGATCCTTAATAATGGACGTTAAAAAAACTTACCAACGACTGAGGTCAGGCTAAATGGCCTACAGTTTCTTGTCTTCTGCCTCACTCCCTTCTTAAACCGGGGTGTTACATTAGCCATTTTCCAGTCTTCTGGGACTCTCCCTGAATCTTGTGATTCTTGAAAGATCATTACTATTGCCTCTACTATCTCCTTCAGAACTCTGGCATGTAGACCATCCAGTCCGGGTGATTTATCCATGTTCAGAATTTTCAGCTTTCCCCGCACCTTCTCTTTAGTGATAGCCACTAAACTAACCTTTGCCCACTGAATCTTGAAGTTCTTGTATGGTGTCTTTCACTTGAAAACGGATGCAAAGTACCTACTTAGTTCCTCTGCCATTTCTTGGTTCTCCATTGCTGGTTCTTCAGCCTCATTTTCCAGCAATCCAATGTCCACTCCTGCCTTTCTCTTAACCTTCGGATATCTAAAAAAGTCTTGCAATCTTCTTTTATATTACCAGCTAGCTTATCCTCATATTTCATCGTCTCCCCCTTTATTGTTTGCTTAGTTATCCTCTGTTTCTTTTTAAAAGGCTTCCCAATCCTCTGGCTTCCCATTAATCTTCACCACATTGTATGCTTTCTTTTTCCCTTGTGTGCCATCCTCCCCTTCTTATGCTGCTTCTTTCTTGGGATGAATTCCTGCTGTGCCTCATGAATCATCCCCAGAAATCCAGCCATTGATGTCTTCCCTCCTTTGCTTCCCATCCAATCAACTCTGGCCAGCTTCTCCCTCATGTCTTTTAGTTACATTTGCTCAATTTGTTAATATCACTACATCTGATTCAATCTTCTCCATCTCAAAAAAGGAATAGGTTTTGGGAGAGCCGCAACTCAGCTTCAAGCCAGGTAAGACCAGGTTGCAGTTTGTACAAATGAGGTCAGGGTTCTAAGGTAAGCTTTCATCTTTTCCCAGAGAGAGTCCACAAGAGTTCTGAAGATTTTGTTCCAGATAGAGATTTAAAAAAAGGCAAAAATCTGCAGAACTGAAGATTTGGTACTTTTCTAGTATTGTTCCGTCTCTGATGGTTAGCTATTTGCCGTAACAGTAATGTGTGTTAATTCTCTGTGTTGTACAATTGGATCCTTGGAAGTCAGTATCCTGACACGTTCTTCAGTAGTCACTTTAAATGTAGAAAGAAACTTAAATTCCCAGAAAACCATAGCATACTGGAGAGTGCATATTGCTTGAGGAATTGAATCCAAATAAATAACCTTTACAAGCACACATACAAAAATCAGAGACTCCCAGACTGTCACAATCTAACCTTGAAAAAGAGATAAACTTCAGTAAAATGCAACTTTTCAAAGTTACCAGAGGAATCATAATGGAAGGTAATAGATATTTCAATTTGAATAAAAACAATTTAAATATGACAATTCACAAAACAGTACTGTTTTGCAATGAAAAGCCTAATCTATGAAGCCACAGCTTTATTCGAAAAATTTCAGTAAGTATGGATTTTGAGATTAATCATTTTCTCACAGAAATTGTGAAAATCAACATAACATCTTGAAATGTTAAAAATTTACAAGAATTATACTGCTGTAGCTGTAGCGGTTAGCTTGCTTACACTCAAATCATTAGTCTAAAATAAAACAGGAACACATCCAGAAATTACTTACTTCAGGGTCTATTCTAAAATTTAGCCACTCTTCCAGTTTTAAAGTTGCCATTTTAGAAGTAGATTTGTCTTCCATTTCACTATCGCTACTGTCATTAGTGACACCATCTACTGCACAAAATACAGGACAGAAAAAGTAAAAAAAATACTGTTAATCAGATTTCTTGAGGAGCAGCTTTCTGAACTACGGTGATCAACTTTAAAGGATTCCAAATTGAGAGATTTTACTGAAACATCAGACATGATCAACGGTAGCACCACTGTTGTGTCGTTTCAATTCAGAAATTTCAATGCTTACTTCAGGCTGACATTTCAGTGCAGTTTTGTGGGAATGCTGCATTATATCAGGTATTATCTTGTAGATCAGATATCAAACTGTTTCTCCATTCGTTCTGTGACGGGCATTAAAGATTGCAGAAAACTATTCAAAGCAAAGCTCAAGTGTTTCTCCTAGTGTCTTCACCAACATTTGGTCCGCAACTAACATTACCAAATTAGATTTTCTGTTCATTATCTCATTACTAAAATTGCACTGTGCGTAAAGGGGAGCCTGTCGACCAGTGCTTCCCAAATCAAGGGCTGAGACACCAAGTGTAGTCACCAACTGAAATTGTGGGACGGCGAGCTCTAGGGCAGCATTGTTCGCTGTGGAGTTCTGCATGAATTGTAACAGTTATGTTCTGCCTCTAATAAGCCCCCATCCTCTGTCCTCCTTCCTGACTCTCAGCCTCCCTGTCTCACTGACAGGTTGGAGCAATTTTTAACCTTCAAAATGGGGTTACAGTGGGAACATGTTTGGGAAATACTGTAGTCATACTCCGATTTCCAGAGGTAACTGATAAGGTCCCAAATAAAAAGGTCATTGCAGAAAATAAAAGCCCAGCATAAAAAAGATAATGTATTAGCATGGATTGAAGATTGGCTAGCTGGCAGCAAACAGGACATGCATAAATGTGCCTTTGTCTCAATGGCAGGATGTGACAGGAGGGAAGCAAAGGCATGGGTAGCTAAATTTGCAGACAACACCAAGATTGGTGAGAAAGCACATTGTGTACAAGATACAAGGTGGTAGCAGATGACTATAGATAGGGCTTAAATGGGCAAGGATCTGGCAGACAGAGTATAATGTGGGAAAACGTGAAGTTCTTCACTTCGAAGGAAGAATGAAAACAAAGGTGTATTACTTGAACAGAGATGACTGTGGAATTCTGAGGTGTAGAAGGATTTAGGTGCCCTCATGTATTAGTAACAAGAGGATAGTATACAGGTACAACATGTAATCAGGATGCTTTTTTTTTATTGTGAGGGGAATTGAACTTAGAATATTATGCTTCAGTTATAAAGGGCATTGGTGAGACAATACTCTAATACTATGTGCTGTTTTGGTCACCTCATTTAAGGGTGTATTTTAACAGATTGGAGGCAGTACAGAAGTTGTGTTCTATACCAATACCTAGAATGATTGGGTTGTCTTATGAGGATGGATTGGATAGGACAGGACGAATATTTTTGCACTGGAGTTCAGAAAAGTGAGGGTTGACTTGGCTGAAGAGTATGGATTCTAAATAGTCTTGACAAGGTGGATACGGAAAGGATGATTCCTCTTGTGGATGAGTTAAAACTAGGGAGTTTGTTTTAAAACAAGGTGTCACCTTTCAGGTCAGAGATGAGGAGAATTATCATCTCAGAGTTGTAGAGTTATAACTGCACAGAAACAGACCCTTCGGTCCAACTCGTCCATGCCGACCAAGTTTCCCAAACTAAACTAGTCCCACTTCCTGCATTGGGCTCGTATCCCTCTAAGCCTTTCCTATTTATGCACCTGTCCAAATGTCTTTTGAATGTTGTAACTGTACCTGCATCTATCACTTCTTCTGGTAGTTCATGACAGACATGAACCACCCTCTGTGTATGAAAGTTGCCCCTCAGGTCCCCTTTAAATCTTTCTACTCTCATCTTCACAATATGTAGTGAACTCCCCCACCCCAGGGAAAAGACTTTTGCTCTTCATCTTATTTATGTCCTCATGATGTTATAAACCTCTATATGGGTCACCCCTCAACCTCCTATGCTCCAGTGAAAAAAAAAAGTCCCAGACTATCCAGTCTCTCCTTATAACTCAAACCTTCTAGTCCCAGTATTAACTATCCTAGTAAATCTTTTCTGAACCCTCTCCAATTTGATAATATTCTTTCTATAGCAGAGCAACCAGAACTGTACACAGTACTCCAAAAGTGGCCTCAACAACATCCTGTACAAACTCACCACGATGTCCCAACTCCTTTACTTAATCTCTCAGAGTTGCTGTGTGAATTTGGATAGCTCTGCCTCAGGAAGTAGTGGACACAGAGTCATTAAATACATTCTTACTAGCCTAGAGAATCCAAGGTTAGTGGGGGTAGAGAGAAATGTGGAATCACATGGTTTGGATCAGCCATGACCTTATTGAATGGCAGAATACGTTCAAAGGGCTGAATGGTCTACTTCTGCTCCTATTTTGTATGATTGCATCTTTTCTGTGGAACCTAGCAGTTCAAAAATTGGTGTCCATGTTTTCTAATGTTACAATAGTAACTTCACTTCAAAGTTACTTCATTCCTATTGAGTACTTCAGCTCATTCAAAAATCTGTGAAAGGTGTTAGCTAAATATTACTCAATGATGTGCAGTCCAGTTACTTTTAAAATTCTGCAATGAAAGTGAGGAACAGAATACACAAGGTCTCTCAGTAAAACAGAGTCTGGCTAAAAACGTTTTAAGACTTCACACTTGGCTGTGGAATTAAGAGAAAAATACTTAACATTTAAAATTAAAATCAAATCTTATCTACCCAGAGCAATAATATTTTTATTCTCTACATTTTTACTATAATACAAACAGATCATTTATGGCAAACAAACGAAACATGCTAAGATCCACAACAAATGTCTGGCTCTTCATTGAATATGGGCTGGATAGGATTCTTGTTCAATTTTCCCTCTTATTACAGAATCATAGAATAGTTACAACACAAGATCATTCAGCCATTTCTTCTCTGCAAGAGCAACTCAGTCAAGATATATCAACTTTCATATGCAAGTATATAAATGTCACAGAAAATTGGAGCTCATACTATGTCACAAAATGGGTTTATGCTTTTGAATCCCTATTGCATTCCTACTCTCAGCTATACTATTTAACCTTTTCATTTTCCATTAAGGTGGTGTTAAAAAGTGATAAAATAATATGGACAGGGAAGAATATACACCCATAACTGATTATCCAAGCAGAGGTTTCCTTCAGTAGCCCCACTTTCTTGTTTAATGCCTAAATGCAGTTTTTCTTCTGCCATTCGACTGAAAAATGTCACATCAACCAATCATTCATCAAGCTCTACAAGAATAATTTCCTGTTAGCACTGATAAGTTATTTTTGAAGAGTTTGACCAATATTGGCTTACATTATTTTCAAATAATAGCAACATTCCAGATTCTTCATCTACATACATTTCACCACTCTTAGTACCTCGAAGATCGTCTCTAATGCCACTTTCCCATCATACATAACTTGGACTTCTCTAATCATTCCTTACAACTCATCTACAACATTGGAGATCAGCACTATGGTTCTTCTCTGCCTTGCCTCTAGCACTTAAATGTCCGGCATGCATTAGCAACCAGAACTCAATGCAGTACTCAACGTGTTACTTAGCCAGAGACCTATACCAGACTCAATATCATCCAAGCAATGTTTGTTCTTTTAGCTATAAAGCAAGACATGTTACTGGCTTTGTGGGGTTCTACTTAGGTGTTTTAAATATTGAGTCTACCAAGTCTGTTAGACTTCTTTCCTGTTCATCCGTTGTTATTTCAACACCATTTGTTATAAATAATTTGTCTGCTTATTTTTCCATCATGTTCAGTGGTTTGCTTTTATCCAAATTCAACTTCACCTATCAATGATCTTCCCTCATACATACTTAATCCATTGCACTTTGTATGCTACTTTACTCATTCTACTGCCTCTATATTTAGCTGCATTGTCAAATCTGCCCATTTCAGAAACTCCTTAGTTTCTTCTAACAGATTGTCAAAAGGACCTGCGAATAAGGACTTAGAAAGGAGTACAAAATAAAAATATTTTTTGGGAGAAGTGGGGTAAAAGCAGTGTTATACCACACACATTTACTAAACAAATTTTCATTTGTTAGACCATTTGGCAAAACTATTTGATGAAACAATGAAATTATTCCAGTTTTTTTCAGAATGGAAAATCAAGCAAATGCAATTTTGAATCTAAAGAATATGTTTCAAAAGTGTGCATAAACTAAGTTTATTCTCTAACATACTCTTAAAAGTACGAAAAATATTTTACATGCCAAAATGAATGAAATATAATTAAATGATACACTGCTGCTGTTAGTAGCTACTCCTAACAGACAATTTCCTGTCTTGATAGGTCACGTTCTTCTGTCTTGCATTTTCTCACATAGCCACTGGAGCTATTCTGTAGCTCTTCAACTCTGATAACATAGCCAAGAAACAAACATTTTCTTTTCCAGGTGTCACATTATATTTGCTCTAGTCATTTTAACACCTGTTCATTTTTCTGGGGTCTATATATGGAATTTTAAGCATACACAGAAACGTAGAAAATGGGAGCAGGGTAGGCCATTTGGCCCTTCAAACCTGTTCTGCCATTCAATGTGATAATCATGCTTCACAATTTCTCCTCACACCCTTTGACCCCTTTAGCCCCAAGAACTATAACTAATTTCCTCTTGAAAACATTGGATCTTCTGGCCTCAACTGGTTTCTGTGGCAGTAAATTAAACAGGGTCACCACTCTCTGGGTAATAAAATTTTTCTACCTCAGTCCTAAATGGCCTACCATGTATCCGTAAACAATGAGCCCTGGCTCTGGGCTTCCAGTTATTGGAAACATCCTAAGGTTTACCCTGTATAGTCCTGTTAGAACTTTATAAGTTCCTATGAGACGCACCACTCATACTTCTAAATTCTACTTAAAATAATCCTAACTGATCCAGTCTCTCTCTGTACGTCAATCCTGCCATTCCAGGAATCAGTGTGGTAAACCTTTGTTACACTCCCTCCACAGTCTAAACATTCTCCCTCCAATCTTCACAACACTAAGGTATGTGATCTCAGCAAGGCCCTGTACAATTGCAACAAGACATCTCTGCTCTTATACTGGAATCCTCTCACTATGGAGACAAACACACCACCTGCTTTATTTATCACTTGCTGCACCTGTATGCTTACCTTCAGTGACTCCTCATATGCCAGTCTTGTTGCACCTCTCTCTTTCCCAATCCATTACCATTCAGATTTAATCTATCTTCTTGTTTTTACCAAAGTGGATAACCTCACATTTATCCATATTATGCTTAATCTATCATGAGTTTGCCCACTTACTCAATTTGTCCAAATCACACTGAATTATCCCTGCATCCTCCTCCTCATTCTACTAGTTATACTCTCAAAAAAAATTCCAGTAGATTTGTCAAGCAGGTTTTCCCTTTCATAAATCTATGATGACTCTTGTAGTCCTGTCACTTTTCTTTCCCCCAAGTGTTATGCTATTAAATCTTATAACAAACCCGAGAATTTTCTCAACTATTAATGTCAAGCTATCCGGTGTCTAACTTGCTGTTTTCTCTTGACCTCCTTTTTTGAATAGCGGAATTACGTTAGATACCGTCCAATCCATATGGTCTGTTCCAGTGTTTATTAAACCTAGAAAGATGACCATCAGTGCATCCACTATTTCTAGGACCACTTCCTTAAATACTATGGGATGTAGATTATCAGGCCCGGAGGCTTTATCAGCCTTTAATCTCATCAATTTTCCCAACGCCATTTCCTACTAATACTGATTTTCCTTCCTCTTACTAGGCCCAGCATTACCAACATTTTTGGGACATTATGTGTGTCCTCCTTTGTGAAAGCAAAACTAAGATATTTATTTATTGGTCAGCCATTTCTCTGTTTCTGACTGTAAAGGACTTACGTTTGTCTTCACTAAGCTTTTCTCTTCACATACCAATTGAAGCTTTTACAATCAGTTTGTACGTTTCCCACAAGTGTATCCTCATCCTTTTATCCCCTCTTAATCAATCCCTTTGTCCTCCTTTGATGGAAACTAAAATGCTCCCAATCCTCAGATTTGTAACTTTTTAGCCCATTTTTATTCTGCTTTCTTGGATCTAATACTATCCATAATTTCCCTTATTAGCTGGGTTACCTTTCCAATTTTATTTTTTGGGTCACCGGACCAGAAACGTTAACTCTGATTTTTTTCTTCACAGATGCTGCCAGACCTGCTGAGCTTTTCCAATTACTTCTGTTTTTGTTCCTGATTTACAGCATCCGCAGTTCTTTCAGTTTTTATTAAGAATTAAAAATTGTTGCACTTGATCCATACAATCTTTAAATGTTTGCTATGGCTTGTCCACCATCAGCTCTTTAAGTAACATTCCTAGATGTATCATAGCCAATTCATGCATTATATTATCAGTTTCCTTGATTTAAATTCAGGACCCTTGTTTCAGAATCAACTACGTCACTCTCCAACCGAATGAAGATTACATCCTAGCAACTGCATTTCAAAGGCCTCTATGTTCCTCCACAAGACCTGACTTATTGTCTAGATTTCTGAGGCACACACAATACTGATAGGCACCTTACAATTTATTTCGTTGTGTTTTCTGGTTGTTGTCATCCTACATCTACATAAAATTACTTCTGGCTGTCTCTATCTTTATTCTGACTTTATCAAATATACTATTTGCCGTAAATGGACAAACCTATTCACTTGCTCCAATGTGATACCATCCACTTCAATCTTCACTCTAGTTACTGCAAACGTATTCCTTTGAACTACCTTTGTATTTGTCTTTTCAGTGCTCATACTCATCAATATTCTAAAATTGTAAACTTGACTAAATCCAAGATATTTTGCAGGAAGACTTCTGATTCTGCAAACAGCACTGTACATTAGCACAAATTTACTATGTGGTAGCCTCCAGCTTTCACCCTGCAGGAATATCTAATTCTCTGAATATTTGTTCTGTGTACAGTTGAATAATTTGGTGGCAGTACACAGCCACGTATATCTTCTCTTCACTTAAATCAAAGCCTTATGGTCCATCCTCAAGCCTAATGTTTGTTTTTTTAGTTTTCACAAAGGTTCTGGATAAACCTCAACTTTACTGTCAATGCCACACTTTAGAAACTTTTTTGTTAGCTTAAGGTGATAAACAGAATCAAATAATTTTAAAAAGCAAAACATACTACAGTTTGTTAAGAAATAATTTTGACTCACTATATGTGTTACCTCGAGGGGAAGAGGGCTCTTGTAATGCACTGCTTGATAGTCTAGCTGGACCACAAAACAAAACTACAGATATTGGCGTTACAGCAGAACAGCAACGTATATTAGCTATTCGATGAGCTCTTGTCATTTCATCATAAATAAGCCAGTCAGTGGGCAATGCTTGAACAGCCACAGCTTGTCCATTTGCTGGAGGAATCTAATACAAAGTTAAAGGTTGTACATTAGAGTAAGATTTTCACAAGGAATAACTTAGCTATGCAATAAAAAAGTGAAATACTACAAGATATTTGAATTTAACAGCCAGTCATATTCTTTTTGATTAAACAGGCAGTTTTTAGCAAAGTTCCAAGTTTATTAGATGTTGAAAAGGTTTCCAGACTAATCTTCTAATGGCACAAATCACAAGCCTTACCTTCTTATACTGTGGTTGGCTGAGAACAGAAGTAGGGTGAAATCTGACTTTCTTTTCTTTGGATCCAGTCAGCAATAAATTCTCTCGGTCAACGTGGATAAGATTTGGGTACATGCCTGCAACTAATGCAGCTTTCACCACAGCCCAATTCTCAGAGTTTGTGTTTACATCTCGAATGTCACCACCCCCTCGTGCTCTCACAAAACCTGAGAGGCAATTTTAAATATAGGTTAAAGGAAAACAATAAGATTTCAAAGCAGTCAAGTCAAGCCAGTCTGTAATATACTTAGACAAATATGTATTTATACAACGCTCATTTGAAGGATTGCAGGCAGGTATGTTGAACTCAGTAGCTGAGTGGTAAAGCACTTACTCTTGGATCTGGCTTTTTGATGGTGAATTGGGCTATCTGCAGTTAAATTTCAGATGGGGGACAACAATAAAGCTTAAGTATTTTAAAGTGCCAAACTCCTTGAAGCAAGGTGGTTGCTTGACTACCATGCCAAGTTTTAAAACTCTCTGCCCAATATTCTTTCATTTAATAAATTTCCTAGCCATTGACATCTGCATTCCACGAACAAATTTTAAAAATATCTTCACCCAGAGAGGGATGAGCCTGTGGAATTCATTAGGAGAAAAAGTGGTTGAGGTCCAAATAAAATGTGTTTTCAAGGAGGATGTAGATATCGCTCGTGATTCAAAGGGATAAGGGGGAGGTTGCAATTAAAGGTGTTGAGTTCGATGATTAGCCACGATCATACTGAATAGCAGAGCAGGCTCAAGGAGTCAAATGGCATTCTCTAGCTCCTATGTTCGTATGCAGTTCATTTATTTTTTTTTAAATATTTGGTGTGTGTCAGATTTTAAAGAACAGCAGTGTAATTTTAAATACAGATATTTACAGATTGCAAGGAAACCATTACTTTCAATAAAACATCGACAAACATTCTAAGAAAGACTCACTGGTCCTGAAACATTAACTCTGATTTCTCTCCACAGATGCTGCCAGATCTGCTGAGCTTTTCCAGCAATTTGTGTTTGTTTCTGATTTTCAACTTCCGCAGTTCTTTCGGTTATTATTAACGCTATATCTCCTTTTCAATATCAATTTCCTCATCAGGGGTTTTGATTTGCCGTGGGTTTTTTTTTGAGATCAAAGAAACATATTTTGGAAATGAAAGCAGAGTAAGCCAAAACATTAAGAAGAATCAAGACAAAGTTCATCGCCCAACAAGTGATTGAGAAGTATGGTTACATTTTGGAGGTAGAATTGTACATCCTTTTTGATTGGCTGGGTGCAGACTCCGGATAACAAATTTCAGTTTACCTTATGTTCATCTCTATTTACCTGATGCCCTGAGTTGTCCCAATAATTGGGTTCTCATGCCAATAATGATTTCCATTGTGGCTTGAGAAAGAAAGTTTTTTTCACAGAATGCTCTCTCCCAACCATCACTGCGAGCTTTTTGCCAAGCCTGAAAGAAAATAAAGTAGTATAAAGCAAAGGAAATGTCTAAAATTACAAATTAAATGTATCAACCT